ATGAAACAAACTGTTCTCACAGCATGAGAAATATACTTTAAAAGAAGAAAGTCAGCTCCGTAGACAAGGAATAAAGCTGTGTGGCTATGAAAGATTTCAAATGAGTGTCAGTGTTAAAAGGAAACATGACTTTATGTTGGGTGCTGAGACTCAGGCGTGAATTTCTGATGGCTTGTTTGAAGGTTCAACAGATCAATCTTTAACTGACTTAAAGGTTACGTGTGGCGTTTTTTCATTTCAGCATCAACCGCAAAACTCCAGTACTGGTCTGGATCTATGTTTGACCACAGGTGGCAGTATGGAGCAACATTTAGATAATGAGCAAGTTACTGGTTTGTTTGTTTTCTAGCCAAAATGTCATAATATATGGTCCAGCTTCTCAAATGTGGCCTACAATTACGTTGTATACTTTGAATAACTTGCAGCACAAACAAGGTTGTCAAGGTATCAAACAAATCTGATTTATCTAAACAGGGAAGGAAAGCATATCACCCTTTGGATACATCACAAAGATGTTTGCATTCTTCAGCACCAATCAACTCCAGTTGCAATACAAGCAAAGACGTGAGAGGTAAGCAAAGATAACAGGGAACAATATTACCTAACATTAAACCACAAACACTCTCTAACCTCTGCCAACTGTGGTTTGCACTTTTCCTTTTGAGCCTCCCTTTTGACCCCAAAGAGAGTCTTTTAATACAGATTTTGGTATGATGGCATAAGAAAGAATGAAAGAAAATATCAACAAAGAGCTGAAAAAGAGGAACATTTTGTGCTTCGTTGAGGAGGCAAAAACCACTTCCTTTCAGTGAATGAGAGAGCTGTCCAAGAAACCGCAGTTTCATAAAATACCACACTCTCTCTCTCTCTCTCTCTCTCCCTCTCTCTCTCTCTCTCTGATGCTGCAACCTAACCTTACAGCTGCACCTTGTTTATCCTGCACTACAATAAAACCATGTGGCGGAAAGTAGATAGCACTTGCCCATCACAACAAAAACCCCAAACCGTGCAGCATCACAACTCCACCGCTGCACTGCAATGCAGCCAAGACTCCTGGCTACAATGCAGGTGCAGCCACCTATCACAACTCAATTCAACCTGGTATTAGCCAGCGTCATTGTTCAGTTATTGTTGCTTCCGTTGTTGGAAATGTCATTTAGTAGCATGCTTGGTAATTTTCTTTCTAAATTAATATCAGGCTTCTTTGCAGAAAAAAATTCATTCCCAGCACTCTGTTCTGTCTAGACATCCAAGAGCCTCGTGGCAGGTTATTAAGTTGTTTATTTATACCGAGAATAAATGCTTATTCAAATGTCACAAACAAAAAAGGAGACCGCATTAATATAGTGACAGCTTGTGCGCACATCCGTCTGACTATAATGGTTTCATTTTAAATGTCATTATGTCTCTCTTCTGCACAGCGTTAACGGTCACAAAGCTTACTTCTTCCGGTTAATGTGAGGCAGACCTTGAATGGCCATCTGAGAAATTCAATTCACTCAAATTGAAATTGATGTTTAGAACGGGAGCTGTCCAAAAGCATGAGCTGGGATTACCCAGCCAGGTGGTGAGTCAAACTGTCAGAGAATAAAAGTAGTTCAACCGTTGGCTCCAAGCCCACTCAAAGTTTGCCCATTCTGCTTTGCGGTTCCCCAGTACTCCCTGGTTGGAGACAAATGTTAGCAGAGCTCAGAGATTATCTGTGTGTGAATTAAAATATTTGTATTTGTACGTGTGCATGTGGATGTTTGTACACATTTGTCGATTTGATTATGTGCATGCATGTTTGTATTTGTGTGCTCGTTCGTGTTTGTGTGTGTGTGTGCCAGAGCGGGGGAAAGTGATTGCCCGGATGGGCATGACAGATGGGCAGGGAGTGGCTCAGCCTGTTCTCTCTGCCACCTGAGAAGCAATAGGGCGGGATGTGTGTGTCGGTCCAGCGTCCATGCTCACCTCTCATCCCTCTGACAGAAGCCACTTTGTTTTGATTCATGTACCAGCCCCTAAAAAAAGGGTAACTGGTAATGCTAAGCTGTTCTGCACACTACAACAGAAAAATGAGTCTAGTGAAGCTCAAAGTAAGTAAGACTGTATTTATGCTTCATTCACAACTCTGTCTCTCTTTCATACACTCTCTCTCTTCCCACTTCTCTCATCAGCCACCTATGGGCGTTCACTCTTTAGTGATACCAAGCGGATATTGCCATGATCTCCAGCAACCAGTCAAATAGTCACTGTCATAATTTAAATCTGTTGTCTTCTCTGCTTCTGTCAGCTGTCATTTTAGTGCATCATTCGAGCTCACCATAAGTCCACTTCTCATCACATCCAGATCTTGAGCATTCTCTTCATCCCATTACCACCACCACCATCACCAGTGTCTAGACTCCATTGGCGAGGTTTCTATATAATTTCACCACCCGCTTCAAATACTGATTGAACTGGAGTAAGTTACTATTTGAGAACTTGTGGTTAACCAACAAAACCAATGTACAAAACACTGAGGCAGAAGGTTACTCATTTTTAGCAAAGGTTGAATGTCACTTGGCAGAAGGGAGGTGGGTTCGAAACGGAAAAGAAAACGTCAGAAACAGCCACACAATTACAATTACGAACAACACTCCTGCACATTTGCATATGTGCAGCACGGAGAAACATGTTCCAGGCCTAATTAACTTGGCTCCCTGCAAGCCGATGTCTGTACTGCGCCAAAGACAGTTGATTAGAGAACAAAGCATCACTCAGCAATATCTAAAATCAGGAGTGAACGGTGTATTTTTGTGGTTGGACAACGCAACAACAGAGGGGTGTAGTCTTCTCTGGTAAAACACACTTGCTGACTGTGGCACATCAATGTTCTTTTGTCTTTATCTCCCAGTTAAACTTCCATTCATATTACATCAGTCATTTAAGCTAAAATATATTATGGAACAAATCACATCTCAAAGTTAAGATCTGGTTAATGAATATGGCTTTATGTGAATCCAAAGGTAATTTCCAGGCTACTTTTCAAAAGAACCTTCAAGGGGTTGAAAAAATATTTGCTCTCCCTGTATGCTGATCACTAGCATTTGTTGGACTGTAACCCTGCAGTGCTATATGTTGAATGTAAACACAGACAGGAGAGCAACAGCAAGCAGTCACTGAACACTCCTCCTTGCTGGACCATCACAGTGCTACACACACAAGTCTACTCACCACTTTGAGGTAAATTAAGCAAACCTGGATTTATTAACTAGTTAGTTTTGTACTATGTGAACTGAAAATGTACTTGATATATCTGAACACATATGTGTATCTACATACAGTGTAAATTTTTCAAACAAACAAAGAATATGTACAGTGTTTCCCATACATACATGCTTTACTTGGGCTGCCCAGGTAGATTAACAGCTGCACGAGTAAATTTGGCGACCCATTTTTTTTATTGCAGCGCTGCGCAGCGCATATTCGCTTGGCACATCCACTCACTCGGTCGCTCTCTCTCTCTCTCTCTCTCTCGCAAACACGGACAACAGACCGTCTGTGAATTGAATGGTTGGTATTATAAACACCACTGCACAAATAAGGAGAGCTATGTTAACTAAACAGCTGTCGAAGTTACCACGCTGTATAACTGGTAGTCAACAGGTGCATTCGAGTTAACTGGCTTTCGCCGACTTGATAGATTGGGGAATAAAAACAGCGCTGTCAAGTCAGACACAATCTTTTTTGCTCGTTTCAGGTGGATTGGGACAACAGCAACTTTCAGTTATAGCCCCAGACAAAACACATCATCTCCATTTTCCCAAATCGAGGATGAATTAGAAACATCCCCTCTTCCTCCAAACGCAAGTGTTGGCTGTGCATGTGAAGTCCTGTGTGGACCAGCCTTCATCAGGGGATGACTTTGATCTTCATGATGGGGTAATTAAAAAAATAACAGCGTTTGATTTTTCTCATCATTTGAAATAAAAATTTTACCCCCCAATACTTTTTCAGTCTTCCCCTGATGTGACAATTGTTGCTGAGTTGATGTCAGCAGAATCTACACCAGGGAGTAGTAATACCACGCTAAGCACAACCATGAGACCAAATTTGGTAATACAAAACATGAAAATCTATAAATTACGGGGGGGGGAATAAGACTCATGCCTTTGATGTAGGAGACCTGGGTTCGATTCCCACAGCGGCACATCCACCAACGTGTCCCTAACCTCTGGTTGCTTATGTCGTGCAACCTCTGAAATATTTAGCAATTGTAAGTTGCTTTGGATAAATCCAATAATAATTTAAGTAGTTTTCTTGCGTTCCATGTTACTGCTTTTGCATTTAGGCTGCCTGTCCAGTATTGCAAATGGAATAACCACTGGCTTGTTTGAAAGCTCATGCCAGCCAATGCGGAGACAAATAAAATTAGACTAATTATTTTTCCTCTGTAAGACAAACAGAAAATTCCAATTCGGCGTGTCTGATATTTGGAATAAAGGACTGGGTCATTAAAAGCACTGGATGGAGAAATTGTGTGTGAAAAGCACACAAAAGGGGCACACATGAGAGAAAAAGTATTTACCGTCTGATTTAGACAAAGGTATGTGCTTTATGCTTCACTTCTGGTCAATTTAATTCCAAAATTCACTCTACTTTTCTGTTTTTGCTCTCTAATCTGACATGTATAGTTATTGACTGTTAGATTCTCTGCTCTGTACATATGTGCTGTATAGCTCAAATGCACTGTAGATACAGAAGCCCCCCCAAAACCAAATTCGATATCTGCACCTGTGGAAATGCGACACTGCGTTCCAGCATGGAAAAACAAAACCAACCCCAGCTCCGCATCGGTTTTTTGACTTTGTGACTCTATCAAGGTATCACTGTAACTATACACTCACAGATCCCACTGATAGGTTCACAGTTAGGTTCAGAGTTAATCAAGTTTGTGCTGAAACAGGAATATTAGCGACTCAACAACAAATATGTCACCTCCAGAGGTGTGCACAAAGCTATGAAACATTTCTTACCTTGGTGGTCAGGTGTCTTCACTTCAGTGTCGTTTCTTTTTGATCCCAGCCTTTATCCCAAAGTACGTCTCATGGAATTCTGTAACCAGAACAAACAATATGTGATTCCTTCACATCTTTCCAAACAAAAGAAACTTCCACCAGGCCAAACACTCAGGAGAGTGAAAAGGCTTACAGAGTTATGCTGCGAGACATGAATTAGCCAGATACTACAGAATGCTGCAGTTCTGCACAAGGAAATCCACATGGCCACTGATGCATGATTGTACTGCCAAGTCAGGGATGACATGGGAGGAGTCTCAGAGTTCAAGAGAGGAAAATCCCCGAAGGAGGTGCAAGGTTTTCTTGTCTATGCAAACCGATGTCAGATTTTCATGTGACCAGATTACCTCTAAAGGGCTTAGTAGCTAATCCTTTAGCCAAATGAAGTGTCTAACTTTAGGCTTAGGTCTGGCTAGAGGAATCAAAGGGAGTTTATACTACGAACGCTGCTAGACGATAAAGGCCAGGAGTCTGTTCAGGAAAACATTATTCCAGGTACACCCTTAATCATCTCTTTGGCTACTTTACTCTTTATGCAACGAGGCCTATTTATTTACACCTGAGGTAGTATTACAATAAAAGAAAGGTAACATTGACCAGACAGCTTGGCTACGTTGGATTTTGTTATCACTCATACTCCAACTCCAGATGTCACAATCCTGGCAGCAGAAGTGAATACTTAACTGTCACACCTCATCAAATATCATTAAAGTGAAGATGAGAAATGCACTAGTTCTCCCTAGTTCTCACTAGTTAATTACGTCTAAATATTATTTAACGTAACTTTTTTTATTTAACATAACTTTAGCAACGAGCAGCTAACGCTGCTTTCTGACTCTTGACTCTTATTTATCAAAACATTAATATATTTTGTTAAAAAAAGTACTATTTCTAACAATACATTTTTTTACTGCATTATGTCATGGTATGTTGGTATGGTCTCAACATAACAACATTTTAGGGATAATCTTTGTTTATTTCAATAATGGGGAAAAAAACAATATCGGCCAATATATCGGCTATCAGATTTTTTAAATCTCAAATATCGAAATCGGTATCAGACTTAAAAATCCCATATCAAATCGGGCTCTAGTAAATTCTATTCCATTGTACATCTCAATCATCTTTTACTGAACGGGACCAAATGTGCCACTTTGCATTGGATAAGAAAAATTGGTTGGCAGAGGTAAATTGAATAATGCTTTACACCTGTGGCTTTTCCACACACAAACACATGCACACTGTTGGATAAACACACCAATACACAGATATGCAGCATACACATGTGAACAAACAACATTCAGAAATAGACATAATAGGGCTGCAACTAAAATGGCTTTCATTCTCTTCATTTTGTTGGTGAGTTGATTAATCAATCATCAAGTTAGAGGTGTTATGATGACTGATACCACAGTGACACCTCAAACCTTGCTACACACAGTCTTGTATCTGATAGTGGACTATTTCTCTAGATCTATAGATGTACATGCATGTGCCCTACATGTAGTTAATAAAATGTCAACACCAGTGACAAATACTTGTGCCAAGGCAAGCCTAAAATATTTTCAAAATGTTTCTGATTCATTTCCTGTTATTCAACAAGTCTATTTGTGTTAGTTTCCTTTAGTTTTCCTGTGCGTCTCTGGTATACTAGATACATCTTTCCTGGTTGTATCATTATCTGATGATATTCAGCCAAGTAGCACTATACCATTCTCACCTTTCCACCTGACTTGGCAGGCGACACACATAAGGCCACTCCTATCTTGCATTGAGAAGATAAATGATATAAATCTTCTTGGATGCACACAGATGTGACTGCTTCTCAGCTGTGTTATCAAAAGAAACATGGAAGAGGATTGGTGGCCTTTTGGTATGTGATTTTGTCACACAACTGCCGCTGTCTCACAAATCAAAGTCAGTTGATAGAAGCTGTGCGGGTGATATCATACTGAATTTCTGTATTTGGCATTTAACACATTCAAAGGGTTTTTATTAAAGACTTTAATAATAGTCTGTAAAATCATGTTCAATGTTTTTTTTTAAAGTGGACAACAAATAATTGCTAAATGCAGAAATCTAGTAGATGTAGTATTCTTCTTTTATGTTCAAACAATTTCGCAGTTACCTTAATGAAACACTCTTTTTATGAGTGTTTGATACTGTAAGAAACTGCTTTTCAGCTGAGGGAAAACAGCACATATCAAAACACATTGTTCAATACATGTTTCTTCAACTGTGAATACACTCATGCAACCTCATTTTTGAAGGCAGTGGAGCCTATTAAGAGCTTTATTTTTTATTGGAATGCACTGGCGAGGTCAAAAAGTTTTAAACACCCACTTAAACAATGATTTTTCATTGTAAATTTACTCCACTAGTAGGAGCTGTATGTTTTGTCACAGGGTGGTTGTATATTTGAGAATTATTACTGAGAGACTGGGGCACAACTTACCTCTTTCATAACTCAGATCTAAGTACTCAGGTCAATGTCTCTCCAGCTATGGCATTTCAGTGTGGTCACTGGCCATGCATCTGATGCTCTGGCTAATCCATATGCTAAACCAGCTCTCAGCCTCTCAGAGATGGATAAATATGCATTGACACAGATGGGACTGGTAAGACGGCCAACTGCTAGGAGGCAGGGTTAAACTGCACAGCACTCAAGCTACAGAATATGCCCGGTTTTATTTTAAACAGACAAAGGATACAGGTTAGTATTGCAAATAGGAAACAGGAAACATTCAGTCATGTTCAGAAGCCAATTGTACAGCAACATTGAAAAGCAAGAATCAAAACCTGTCAAGTACCAAAAGCTGCCAAAGGGATGTCTGGCCAGATTCGTAACCTCTTTTGCCGTGCATTAGCTGTCTTGGGTCCCTGGCTGTAGAACAGTCTCCCCCTGGAAGTCAGGGCGACAAACTCCGTAGAGTGTTTTAAGTCACAGCTGAAGACTTATCTTTTTTCTAATTGTTTTTGTACATGAGTTTTCATGCTCAGTAAGTTTTGATTCATGATGCCATGGAATTGTTTTGTTTTTATTGTTTCTATTACTGTAGAGCAATTGTCAACTCTCTTCATGCTTCTTTCAACCTCTGCAAGTGATGCCACGAACCGTTTGTTTTCACTGTTTTGTATTTATTGTGCTACCTCCATCCCTCTGTAAAGCAATTCATAACCCTGGTTTTGAAAGGTCTATATATAAATAAATTTTACTTTCATCAGACAGCTTCTGATTAGAATTAAACTTTTTTCAACATGTAGACCAGACAAAGTTCTTGTCATGATGCTTGTTTTTAGACAACATTTAAAATTAAATACCTCAGAATTTTTTCTAAATCAAGAAAATAACTGAAAGAAGGGTATTAAAAAATTGTTGCATTCGGTCCATATATTGCCCCTCATTTGTCATGGTGACACTGATAGGGGTGTCTGTGTGTTTGCACACAGTAGTAAAATAACACCTTAAGCAAACATCATTTCAGCCATTTGTTTGAGCAAATAAAAGATAAGCTGGGAACAGAGATCACTGTGACAGAATATGAGCCATTTTCATCAATATTCCTGCTTTTGAGCAATGATGATGTGTGACCACTGACAGTCACTGAGACAAGTAAGTTGTTGGCTTGCAGATTTGCATATCATAGAAGACTGGACTGTTGACCTTGGCGGAGGTCTGCAGTCTGCACTCTCAGTGCTCTTCTAGTTTCATACTGCATTTCATTTAAAATTCATGAAGCACTGTTCCCCTTGTTGTCAATGTATCTCTTATTTTCAGTAAGTCTAAAAAAGGAAGGTTGTCTTATATTCAGGCCAATACAGTATTTATCCAAGCCTGCTCATCTGCACTGCCATATTCCTCTTAAAAGTGAGATATATAGCATATTTTCTATAGGATTATTGTTGAAAATAATAATTTAAACACCTGTAAGCTCATTTCATTAAGTCAGGATTAGGATATACACTTTCTATGTTTTCATGTAAAGCTGTAAAACTTATTGAAGTATTGACCCTTTCTTTCTGTGAGTTAGTCAGAGATCGTGTCTAATAAATGTGTACGCCAGTCCTGCAGACCAACATTGTGTAGGCAGTCTGTGATGCTTAATCTTCACAATAAAAACAATAATGACAGCATCTCCCAAAACTAGACTGCGACCATTGTTAATCTTTTTAGAGAAATCTGACATTTGGGATAGAACTGTTGGTCAAAAGCTTCATATTATCAAGCTTTTCCCATTTTAAAAGGAAACACGATCATATACGGAGGAAATCTTTAGTCCAGTTATACTTTTGCCGTGTTTTCCCCATGTTCTTCCTCTTCTAGAGCTGCAACAATTCTGGTCGATTCATCTAAAGCCAAATGATAGAAAATTAATCGGCACCTATTGGTCACTGAATAATCATTTAAGTCATGTTTTAAAACAAAAATTGCTGGTTTCAGGGTTTTAAAGTAAGGATTTTCTGTTTTTCTCTATTTTGTATCACTGTAAACTGAATTTAGTTTTTTTGCTCAGACAACACAAGACATTTGAGAACTTCACCTTGGGCTATGTGAAATGATTAATTGAGAAAATGATCAGTCCTAGTGTCTTAGCAAAAGCAAAAGTATGAATAAACTGTAGTGTTTCACTTTTTTTCCCCTTACTAAATAATGTTCTTGCTTTAAGGGGGTTCACTGCTAGACGAATTCTGTCGGGACCCTGGCTCCAGTCTGTTTCTGAGAGCTGCTGTCATACAACTGCAACTTTCTAATAGATGTGGGCTAAGCGCTCTCGTTGCCAGAGAAAGGCCTCAAACAGGAAATGTTGCAGGCTCACTGACACTTTGCCAAACCACCCGCTGAATCACATCCATCTGTTTGCATATTATGCAAATTACCCTCAGTTATTCAAGAGTAAATCGAAGTATGTGTGCTCATCTGTGAGTGAGAGAGAGCTCCTTACCTAATCAGCTTACAAGCTACCATGACACATTAAAATTACTCATGTCAGTTGTGCCACCTATAGGATGCAACATTTCCATATGAGGCCCTCAGCT